TTCCCAAACGTCCTGTGGAAGTTCCGGACAGTTGTCTGAGCTACACAATAAAGCAATATCCATTTTACCCGGACCTTGTCTCTTGAATACAAAACTTTCCTGCCTTGTTTGTAAATAGAAAAACTCAACAATGTGCAATTCTTTCAGAAAAAAAAGAGTTTGTTTCATGAGTACTGAAAAAGGCGATATTTGAGGTTAAGCTGCCTCTCCATAAGTACCGAAGTTGGTAAATTAAGGACATACTTCTTTTACCGTGTTCTTCGAAAACAAAGCTGCGAATGGGTGACTTCTCATTCTTGGAAATTGAAATAATTGTAACTTCTCAATTTATAAATTTGTTGTAGGAGCTTCCGCATACAGCCAACCTTCTCGAGATAGTGAAAATGATCAAACCAAATGCTTTACTAGGTAAATAACTATCCTTCACATTTGATAATTAAGTTCTTGATATTTTCAATCTCATTATAAACTTATAAAAGCTGATTTAGGTCTGTCTACCGTCAAAGGTGCATTTACTCCCGAAGTAATACAAGAAATGGCTAAAAATAATCCTCGCCCAATTATCTTTGCCCTTTCAAATCCGACAGCCAAAGCTGAATGCACGGCTGAGGATGCATACAAATACACAAATGTAGATTTGAACATCACTTTTCATTTTTTAGACTTTCCGAACCTAAGATATCTTGCAGGGTCAAGTGCTTTTCGCATCAGGATCTCCATTCGATAATGTTGAGATGTTTGGTAAATTATTTAAACCTGGTCAGGGTAACAACGCCTACATCTTCCCGGGAGTAGCCTTGGGAGCCATACTCTTCAAAGCTAAGCGTATCCCCAATCATGTGTTCCTGATTGCGGCTAGGGTGAGTTCACCCTTATGAGAAATGACTCAATGAGTGGGAAATGTTATAGCGATGTGCTGCTTCTGTGACCGAGAAGTCCTTGAACGTCTACTCAAGGTTGTATCCTAGGCTGAAGAATGCTCGAGATCTTTCCGCTGATATTGCTTTGGATGTGAGTTTTACAATCCCTTTATTTTTTGTACTCGCAAAAAAATGATGAGGAGGAAAAGG